AATGAAGGTATAACTAAGCAGAAATTAAAGGGCAAGTGGGTATCCCACACAGCTTTACTGGTGACAATGCAGGAGTCAGAAGCTAGAGTGACTTTCACATAATGCTTTATATTAATGTGAAGTCACTGAAACACAGAACACCACAAAGCAAATGTTAGGGTCATTTTAGACCTGAAGGTTTTGTGTTTACAATGTTCCATGTTCCAACTCAGAAATCTAGATAATTGTTATTTGCTGGACATAACATATCCCAGGACTGGAACTGAGAGTTATATGAGAAGTGGAATCAGAAACAGAATGTTCCAAATGCTTGATCTAATATGTGTAACCCCTCCCTTTCTATCCCAGGAGGAAATGCTTCAAAAGAGGTTAAGAATGCATATTAACCTTATGGCTTTCTTTCAGATTTGGGAAACCTTTGAGGTATTGATTTGCTATGTGTGTATACTCCGGACTAGATTCACTTGTGCTTGCAGTTGTAGCATGTGTGTTTTATTCAACTGTCAATGTGCCAGCCAGAGTACAAAGCAGAATTATAACCTGTGTCTCTTGAAACTTTCATTCCCGTTGGAAAAATTCTTGCTTAGTGAAGCTTCTGGGGTCCAATTACCTGTTCCTATGCAAAGGACATTTTCAAAATAGTGTGATATGCCCAGAGGTTATAGGCTTACATTCATACAGGCAATCTCTCAAATCCACATCCAAAGAACCATAAAAATATCTTGCCTGGTGATGAGTGGTCTTTAACTGAAGGTCAAATAAAACATCTTCAATTTTTACAAGTATTTCAATGTGATTATTTTAAACAGTTAACTCTTGGGTACATTCCTCCATCTGTCTCTTGCTTTCAATGTATTTAAAGAACCTCCTCTTATTACTTTTTATGTCCCTTGCTAGGTATAACTCATTTTGTGCCTTAGCCTTTCTGATTTTGTCCCTCTATATTTGTGCGGTTCTTTTGTGTTTCTACTTAACAATTCATCCACACTTCTGTTCTTTATAGGACAACTTTTTGATTTTCAGGTAAGTAGAGAACTGATGGAGCCTAAGGGTGCGTCTACACAGCAGCGTTATTTTGGAATAATGACTGTTATTCCAAAATAACAATGCAAGCGTATACACAGCAATTCTGCTATTTCAAAATAAATTTGAAAAAAACAGACAGCTTATTCCGACTTCTGTAATCCTCATTCCACAAGGAATAATGCCTCTTCTGAAACTGCTATTTCGAAATAGCTGTAGTGTGGATGCTCCATTGCTGCTATTTCAAAATAGCTCCTCCCCAAGGCCATTTAAAGTAATTGCTCCATAGTACTTCCTGGGGTCTAAATCGAGGTAGCACATCCACATTAGGGAAGCCTGCCTTGGACTAATTTTGAGGCTTTCCTGTAGTGTAGATGCATTATTTCAAAATAAGCTATTTCAGAGTATTTCTTCTGGAATAGCTTATTTCAAAATAAGTATGTAGTGTAGATGTAGCCTTAGACCTCGTACAATGAGGTTACAGGAGTCGGAGTAAGAAGTCCTGAAGCTTGACAGTATTTTGACATTATTTCAAAATAACTGCCTGCTGTGTAGACGTGGGCTATAGATAGCCAATACTATAGATTTCCCTGCATACCTATAATGTGTAATGCCTGCCACCCTATCCAGTACACTGGGGATTGCACCAAGAACCATGAGACCTAAAAGTATGAGCTGTTTCAGTCCAGAGCTAAGCTCTACAAATGCATATTCTTTGCTGGTGAGGCACAGAAGAGGGCCTGTAACACTCTCATCAGTGGTCTCTGTCTGTATAATATTGCCTTCTAATCTATTTGATAATATTACAGTCAGAGAAAAATATGTTCCTTGAACAAGTTAATGTACCTGACCAATTTACATTCTTACAATATTTTCACAATGGGGAGTACAAGATTTTTTGGTCTTTCTAGCTCTCGTATGCCATTTATGGCATGCCATGCCTTCAGCCAGTTGAGCAGTGGAGGGCAATAAGATGTCAGAAGTTTACTAGGGTTACCCCTGGCAGGCCACCACCACTATATTTATCTGTGCTTCCTCAGGTATGGGCAGCTGTGCAGTGCAGAGCCAATGGGAGCTGTGGGAAGTGGTATCCCAGGATTTATCTAGACTACCAGGAACAGTCAAAAGATTGCACTTCTTCCAATCACACTTTCGAAAGCAGAGTTGAAAGAGGATATGCAGATTCTGCAGGAATTTGCATATCTTCTTTGGATCACACTTTTGAAAGCATAGCTTTCGAAAGTGAAAGTGTGACCCCCCTTTGTCAAAAAACTTCTTTTCCTCAAAAATTGAGGTTTACGCTGCTTTTCAACAAAGGGGGAGAGGGTCGCTGAAAAAGCTGCATCTAAACTACTTTCACTTTCGAAAGCTCTGCTTTCAAAAGTGCGATCCGAAGATATGCAAATTCCTGCAGAATCTGCATATCTTCTTTCAACTTTTCCCAGTAGTCTAAATAAGCCCTCAGTCCGAACCACTTCCCACAGCTCCCACTAGCCAGGAATGGTTATAACCATTATTTACAGCCAACAAGTGCTGCAACCATCCATCCCAGTAGAGGTTCAGTTAAATATAATGGTGATGATCTGCCAGTACCTAACCTTGGCAAACCATGATAGATGTGGTGGAATCTGCATCCCTACAGGTTTTCAAGTCCCAGCTTGACAAAGCCCTGGCTGGGATGATTTAGTTGGGGTTGGTCCTGCTTTTAGCAACAGGGTGTTGGACTTGATGATCTCCTGAGGTCTCTTCCAACCCTATTGATTCTATTATTCTATTATTCTAACTGGATGTGGTCTGTGAGCTGGTATTTACCCATTGTTTCAGTAGAGGCTCACCACATGCAACTGTCAAAATGAGTCTTTGGGTGACAACAAAATGTTATAACCACCTCTCACATTTGGAATCAACTTTAGCTTTTCCCTTCTATTATCTTGAAAGGAATGTTCTAAAGTAAGAAATGTGACAAATGATATCAATATCTGCCACATATAGCTAAATTAGTTCATGGATTTATAAAGTATAACCTGTTCTTTGATCATTGGGACACCCAGTAAGAAAACTGTCTCTTTAAATCAGCAAAGTGTCTCCACACCATGCCTTTGCTTATGAACCTTTGGCCCCTCCCCTCCCTGGGCTCCAGAGTGCCTTTCCCTCCTCACAAATATCCCATAACCCTGCTTAGGGGGACACCTAACTAGTTTAATGTATCTACATGATGAGCTTGACTGTTTCCAATCTGCTCAGGAATGGTAAAACAAACATGATAAACCATCTTTATACCCAGCTAATCCTGAGGTTAACAGGGACATAGCCAGTGCCCCGACAGAGTGGGGGGAGGAAGGGTGGCAGTATTTTTGGTTGCCTGATAAGAGCCCCTAAAAGTTATTGCAGCACTTTGGGATCAAAGAGGCATTCAAATGCACAATGACACCATTCCTCCAGGGACATCCTAAACTGGAGATTAGGAGGAGATGGCACAGATGTTAATTACTTACTATGGAGTCTGTATTCCATCCAATAATTACCCACACAGAAAACCCTGAGAGTACCAGATTCTCCAGTGTTCCAGATACTTTGTGCTGTCAGAATAGAGGCAAGAATCTGTCCCCATGTATTTGAGATTCATATATTTCAAAGCTACAAGGGACCATTGTTATTGTTGTGGGACCAATTATTTTCCCAAATAATTCCTAGCACACATCTGTTAGGAAAGCATCCAATCCTGGTTTAAAAATGGTCAGTGAGGGACAGGCCATTATGACTCTGTGTAAATTTTTCCAATGTATATTTGTTTTCAAATACAATAAAAATATGTAAGAGCTCATATTGTCAACAGGCACCTCCCTACAGGCTACAAGTACTAAAAGTCAAATTAAGCATCTGAAGGTGTGAATTAAGACTAAGGTGATGGAAAGGACTATTTGGGCATCAATATGCTAATGTGTCCTCCCAAAGGCCAGCTGGGCACACTGAGTGAGACACCCAGTAAGACAAAGGTCTTACCCCATACCTTTGCTTATGAACCTTTGGCCCCCTCCTCCATGGGCTCCAGAATGCCTTTCCCTCCTCACAAATATCCCACAACCCTGCTTAGGGGCCCACTTATCTTGGCAGTCCCAGGACACTTCCCAGCAGCCTGATGTACATCCCACTCACCAGCCATTGAGAGAAAAAAATATTTTGGCATCCTGCTGTAACAAATACAGAGAATAGATGCAGATCTGAAGAGTCCCAGTTTGGAAGGGAGGAATCCAAATACTAGGGGATCAAGAGTTAAGTGCAGAGGAGACTCTCAGCCCCTCAGGAACTTAACTTCATTAACTTACCAGACATCTGCAGAACATAGCTGAGGTAGAATTGGGTGTTCTCTGACTCACGACTCACCACTCACCAGCCCGTAGATGTCACCTGTACTTACAAAGTTCAAGTCTTCAAGTTTCTTGCCTTTACAAAGGCAGGCATTGAAATGGCCTAATTGTTCCAAGAGTCCCTTTCAAGGAGCATTCCATGTGAGCGGACAAT